ACTATTACATTAGTAGCAGCAATAGCCGAGACTTTTAAAAAGCTTACAAATGACATGGGAACAAACAGAAGGAACAATGATGACTGGAAGAAGAAAGAAAAATGATTAATTTGTTTGGTTATATTTGTTGGTTGCATGTGCTCTCTATATAAATACGAATAATAAATACTGCCAAGTTGCTTATGCCAGTTTTGCAACTTTGACTTACCAACAGTTAGCACTAAGTTTGTTGCAAATACAAAACTTATTCACTGGCTGTTATGTATTGGTCATCAAATAATACAGACTTTTTTTTTCTTTGTCTGTTTATTTATGATCCTAATCGACCAGTTAAACGTTCTGAACAATTAATAACAGCAACAGTAAAGGTATTCAAGGATCAAAGGGGTTTAAAAACTGACGATAACTGTACCCGGAACTGAACAGGTGATAATATTTGACTGTTAAGGAATGAGTAAAAGTTAGTTTGAACAAAAGACAACAAATTGCCGTTGTTGTTGTTGGCAGTGCTGCTGTTTTAAGCATTCATAGCATCCTTCTGACTAAGACTTTAAAATCACCTTTTAATCAACCTGCTGATATTCACTGTCTAAAATAATCAACCTGCTGATATTTACTGTCTATAAGGGACAGAAAAAAAGGAAGAACAAAGAATCTTTATTTTGATTATCTTTGTACCATCTCATATCTGCGCTATTCTTTTTTTTTTTTTTAAGAGAAGAATAGCAAAAATGAAGCGAGCGAAAAAAAAATTCTGTTTTATTTTTGAAAAAAAAAATAACTCAAATTAAAGCGGATAACTGATTACATATTGAACCAAATTTCAACAGTATAACCAAATGAACAAAGATTATAACAGATAATAAATGAACACATTTATTCAAGTAAATGTCATCGATGTATTACTCTTCAAAAAACTGACAACGATCAACGGCAAAAAGAATTTGTTAGGGAATTTGTGTTGAATTAAAATTTAGCACTACCAAATCTTTCAACTATATTTTTTGTGTCAACCAAAAAAAACAGCGTTTCAAGAAATTTTTTGTCTTTCAGACTATTCAAATTTTAACTTCCTGAAACGTTGTCTTCAGCACTGAGAATTTGTTGAAAATCGTCAAGTCAAAATTATTCATTCAAATTATCCATTTTTTCCTTTTTCTTTTTTTTTTTTTCTGCTAAAATTAATTGGTTAATTTAGTTGATTCTTATCTTTCTCAGTTTATTTTATGTGCTTGTTTCCCCTGTTAAATTACAGTAAATAAACTATTGAATTGGCAGCCACTTAAGATGAGTCTTTAGTCATTTCTGTGGGCAAAAAAAAAAAAAAAAAAAGTTAAAGACAACTGATGGCAACAGCAAAATCCGTTGTCCATCAGAGCAGCAGTTAATTTATATTGCATTGTTCGAATAAAATTTGCATACAAATTTATGGACAACAGCAAAACAAAGAAAAAAATTGCAAAACTTTTACCAGTTAAAAAAAAATTTTGGTTTTTTATGATAACTGCTCAAATTTTATTTGTTTTCTTTGCTTCTTCACACACATTTCTCGGTTTTTCGTTATATATATGTCTATAAAATATTGCTTATCATTAACGGTACATAGTACCTAACAAGTTATCAATGTATTGTACCTATGTGAGCCAAAAACAAAAGGAAAAGTGAAAAAAGTGAAAACTGATGATATTTCAGTTAACGACACCGTTGATACCCTACCGAAGACGTCAAATTATATATATACAGCAAAATCTAAGAACAATTCAAGCAACTACTGAATCAACAACGTCTTCCATTGTGTGTAGCTGAACAACGATTCAGATGGCAGTTTGAACTGTTGCTGTAGAACCAAACTAAGTGCCTTCCAAATATATGTATATGCCCAACCAAAAAATAAAAAAAAATAAAAAAAAACCCCCCAATGTTTTCTTTACTACTTCAATATCTTCCGTCAGTTTTGTTCCTTCTGTTTAACTTTCCATTTTTCAATTTTGAAGTTCATTTGTCTTCTTCTTTTCTTCTCTTTCACCACCTTTTTTTCTTTTGCAAAATATAGAAAATAATAATAATAAAGACTGTTTTAGAGGTGAAAACACTTCATCCTTTTTTAGTTTTGAAAAAAATATTTGATTGTATCAATCGATTATGCAAAAAAAATTTTTCTTTGTTTTATACGCAAATTTTCCATTTCAGTGTCACCTTTTCTTTGTCCATATCTCCGGATCTTCTATAGTGCTTCACCCAAAGACCCACTGTAATTAAATGTCACAAATCAAAACCCTTTTCTTCTTTAATCAAAAAATCCAACAGCAAACAGCAAATCAACAAAATATTTATGTTTGTTTGCCTTCTTTTGCTTTACTTTCCTTCAGTCTTCCAGTCTTCACCCCACTCATCCCCTTCTCCTACCCACCATTCGGCCGTTGTTGACCATAACACTAATCAAAGTGCCTTGAACAGATGTAGGTGAAACTTCCGGTTTTTGGTTGTTGTTGACTTAACATCTTTTTTTTTCTTGTCCCGTCCAAAATGACAAATGTTAAGATTGAAATAAAATTGGTAAAGCAATGTTAAGTCTCAGGGAAACTCCAATTTGTAGATCACCGTCTACTTAAATCATTTAATGAACATTCGTTATTTTTTGTTCTTCCACTGATACATCTAAATAAATGTTAATCATCGTGTAGGCGCCTCTGACAGCACACCAGGATCCAATCACTGTCCATACAACTCAGAATTTTCACTAAACACAGAGTCACTTTGTGCAAAATGAGCCCAATCACGGAATCCATGCATCTCAACTATTTGGCTCTGTTCCGTTTTATCACATGCAAAGTGACGGATTAAGCGCATTTTTTTTTTTTTTTTGACTCTTTAACATCCTCCTGTCTTTTACCTTTAATTGATGAACATATAGAACTTGCTACATTTTAAATCTCTACACCCACCAAAACCCTTCAACAGTAAGTCTTCTGAAAAAAACTTCCAGAAAGTTTGATAATTTTTTATCCTTCGCCTCTGCACATACTTATTCATCCACTCAAACTTCAGCAAAGTCTTAACGAACTTAAACAACTGAGCTTCACTGCTCATTTCAACTATTGACTAAAACGTCTGGTCTAAATGGTTAGTTTAAATGGTTAGCCAGACTGTGAAAAACACAAACATTTAGTCCAGTAAAACTTTTTTCTTCAAGTGTAATTCATCTAAATACACCCATCAGGAAATTTCAGTTATTTCACTTCTTTTGCCAACAAAAGAGAGTAAAAGATCTGAACGGAAAAAAAGAAAAAGGATATCCACAAAATGACGCAAAAACTTCCCGAAAACCAGAGAATAAAGAAACAGAAAAACGGCTTCAAAAACTTGAAACAACTTTAAAACCCGAACAAGAAAAAAACAATGCTAGACATGATTTCAAATACATAATCCTCAAATAGCATTCATCACAACAATTCAAAAAATCCTTTCGCGTCACTTCATACTTTTAAATGAGTAATAATTCTAATAGCAGCAGTTGTCTTTGCTCTCCGTCCAAAAAAGACGACTACAGTAATAAACTACTACGATAACAATTCGCAATTCAATCAACTATCAGTGCTAAAAACACATTGGTACAGATCAATCAGAATTTTTCCAAGGAATAAAACTCGAATAATGGTAACAAAGACAAATCTGAAGTAACACTTATAAAGTTTATGCACAAAAAACCTTACTACCAGCGCATTTGCGAGAGGCGTATAGAAACAAATAAAAAACAAATATCTTCTACGCAGACGATAATATAACTTCAGTGTTATCCTGCCGCTGCAAAAAAAAAAAAAAAAAAAAAAAAAAAAAAAAAAA